CCAGGAATGTGAGCAAAACTCTTTCATGAGTCACTACTGTATAAACAAGCCTGAGCGACTCCGGTGTGATGGTTGTAACAGAGCAGAAACAGAGAGATAATAAGAAAATAAAAATAACACAAGCACATGCTCAACACTATTTTTTTTTCCTATGTGAGTTTACATTCTCTCAGCAATACATCATAATGAGTTAATGGTGACTTTTTATTGTTGTTTTATTGTTGTTTTTGTTTCTTTTGTTGTTGTTTTTTGTGCATGCGATCTGTGAAAGATTGCTACAACCTTCTATATTTTTGCTGTGATATGGATCCCTCTAACCTTTATCAAAGGATTGCCCCGTTTCTTTTTCACAAGAGGTAATCAGTGGGAAACACTTAAGCGGTGGCCTGATAACAGCCCACAGCGAGCCATCAGGACCGTTTCCACTGCACTGAGAGGCAGAGAGAGAGAGAGAGAGAGAGAGAGAGAGAGAGAAAAAAAAAAATAGAAACAGCGCAGGGCCCGCGCACGGTGCCATGCGCAGTCCCGTTTTCTGCTGCGCACAGAGGGGGAGAGAGAAGAGAGAGAGAGAGAGAGAGAGAGAGAGAGAGAGAGAGAGAGAGAGAGAAGAGAGAGAGCGTGTGTGTGTGTTCGTGTGTGTGTGTGTGAGAGAGACGAGAAGAGAGAGAGAGAGAGAGAGAGAGAGGGCTGCTATTACTAGTGACAGAAAACGGCAGCGAGCACATACAGTCTGGAGAGCAGCTGATGCGACAAGGTAGGACGGAAAACACCTTCGCATCATTATATTCAGTGTTGATGATCAGTGTCCTTCAGCTGATGTGATGTACATTGTACTGCCTTTGTTTTCAACGCGATTGCGGCGTCCTGCAGCCTGATCTCCATGTCCTCTCCCCGTGCTGTTGTTGTGTGTCCGCAGATGCTGAGCGTCGCCTTGCTGTGTGTGTGCGCCTTCGCCTTTGGACACGTCTCCGCTCGCTCCGATAGCGGCAATTTTTTTGATGATAAGTGGCTCGCTGAGAGATGGGATAAATTCAGAGATGTGAGTAATATTTATGGATTATATTATTAACGCCCCCCCCCCCCGATTATCTCATTTACACCCCCCGCTAGCCTATACCCCCACCCCCCACCACCCTCTTCTCTCCCTATAGCCACCTTCGCTGGTTTTGTGATCATGCGCTCCTCGTTTTCTCGTTGTGTCCAAGCGACGCGTCACGGGGCCCGTTGTGGTGTTTGTCACATGTTCAATACACTAATGATACCGGGATGATCACCGCCTGTGAATGTGTTTTCGCGATAGCAGTCCCCGCTTTACTGAGATAGCTGAGGCCTCTGAAAAACACACATCGCCTAGCTGTCCGAGAGGCACCACTGAGTCCCCGAAAGGGGCCTAATTATGTGCAGGTACAAGGGAGGGAGTCCGCAGCAGCGAGGCCTGGATGTGCTGTTTGGTCAGGAATAAACACCTGCTAGAAGGTGGTGAAGAGCAAACCAATGGAGAGTCAAGACCGAGTATTGTGTGTGTATGTGTATGTGTTTTGTTTTTTTCAGTCATTGTATTCATGTCTGTGTGTATTAGTCTCAACTGGGAATATAACAGCATATAAACACAATGATAGCCTTCAAAGACCAAAAAGTAGAGCAAGTCCACTGTTAACTGTCCACTGTTCCTGTGGGAATTTTAAAGGAATATTATAAGATGTCTCAGTGGCTATGTATACATATGTCTCCCAGTGGTCTCCTCTCTCAACCAGTACAGTAGTGATTGTGTTTGAACTGATCTGGTTTATTATGCTGCTGGTGAGTGTCTTCACTAGCGAACTTCAACAAGGTGCTGTCAGCCACCATTACCCTGACATGTTTATATAAGGCCACTTAGTGCAGTAATGCTGCCGCTGATTGTCATGACGCATACCATACAGCCTCTGATCATGTAGCAGGGCTGCCAGAATTAATGTAGTCATGCTTTCTGGTGTCGTATAGATTCCTTTTATCTATTAATCATCAAGCTTTCAGTAGAAAAGTATTTAGTTTTGCTGTAGTGTGGCCTTTAACATATAGTTGGGCTTTGTAGATTCTTTAATATGTTTATTAGGGAATAATAAGATACATATTATTGCAGATGAAAGACATTGGAGATCAGTACTTGGACGGTGCTGCAAAAACAACAGGGTTAACATAATGCACAAGAGATAATACACTTTTCACTCACACTTGCTTTAATGAGTGATTTTACCTCCATGCTGAACACATGCAGTAGATATTTCTTGGGATTAGAATCCCTGATACATTTGGTGTCAAAGAGAGAGAGAAAAACATGAGCAACATTCTTTATCATTTTCAGATATTAGGGTACTTACTGTCTTTTTCTTAACCTGTAACAGGCTTTTTCTGTCGCTCACTTTCCCTGCCTGTCACACTTAAGCGTGTGAATCCATCAGCTCAGGTGGACCCACGTGATGCACCTCAGGTCCAACTATTGGATTTGGATTATGCAAATAGGGTGTCAGGACCGAATGCTTGTGAGGGAATGTGATTGGCCTTGTGCTGTGCTATTTAAGATGAGCTGAACTCTTTGCGATATATACAGTAAGACAAAGATTGTGTGTGTGTATGTGTTTGTGTGTGTGTGCTAGAGAGAGAGAGCTGAGAGAGCTCTGTGACTGTTTTATTGCAAAAAGACGTATATAAATACCCCAGAATGAGATAGACAGATAGATAGATACCTGAGAGGGAGGTACAGTAATGAGAGTGAAAAGCAAAGATGAAAGAGAGTGGGATGATTGGCAGTGAGCTGAAGGCTGTGTGTGTATTCATATCTGTGTTTTAACCTTGAGGCTCAGGCATTAGAGATTGAGGTGGAGTGCAAAAGCATTATGTGCTCTATATGTACAGTATGAGTATGTCTTTTATTTACTGTTTTAGTGCTGTGTCCCAGTCTGTCAATGTGCAACTGTGTGTTTTTGCATTATATCACATAGAAATCAATCAATACTGTATATGAATCTATTCAACTACATGACAAAAGAAGCAGCTACAGACTGCCTCGTAAAGTCTATAAATGTTTTTCAAGCAGTTCAAACTTGGCCTAGTTTTAATGTAAGAGTTTACTACGTGGTAATGTATGCATCACTAAATTGGGTGCACCACAAAAACAAGTTCTTACATAGGGATAAGTCATTACTGCTAGGTTTAGCCTGAGTTTTGTAGCGAACTGAGCCCACGGTAAAAGCTAATGATATCTTGCCAATACATTGTATACTATGTTAGCTTTACTCATTCAGAGAGAAGAGTAAAAGATGTAACGGGACATGGTTGAAATGTCTGACCTGACGCTTGATGAAAATGCTCTTTATTAATGACATTTACTTGGAAGCTTTTAACTTACACAAAAAATGATATTGCTACACAATACTTCAAATTTAAACATCATGTTCATCAACCAAATGGCCAATACCATTAGTTAGTTGGACTGTGATAAATATGTTTCCCAGCAATCAATTTACCCATTACCTAAGTCTTTAGTAGCTGAGAAATTTCTTAAAGTTTTAATGGTTCAACACGATTTAGCAGATCACTAGTTTTAAACAAGCTAGTTGCTTTTAGCTTGAGCTTAGTTAGGCCTTTATGCACAAACTTATACTGGAGCTAATAATGACTCTTGATTTCAGAAACAATCTATTATGTGATTATTTATTGTGGCAGTAGTCTGTAATCTTAGTTTTTAAATGAAAGTCTTTAGTTGCACTCAAATCTATTATTCTACTATCTTAATCCTGCAACTACTGTGAATATTCATAATTGTACATTTTTCTCAACCTAATACGCCTACTGTTTTAAACTTATGTATTGGTATTCTATGCCAAACCTAGCTTAACTGTGATTTGAAATTTGCATTTTAGGCATGTACTGTCACTTTCATCTTTCAGTGGGAGCCATAAGTGGGTCTCCTGCTAAGTGCACTAGATAGGATCTTGGCCACTGATGTACTGTAAGACCTGTTAGGATGGGCTGGAGCAGCCTGGGGCTGTCTTTCCTGCACCGGTGCCATCTCAGTTTTTTAGACATTCTGCTCTGCTTGCTGGACCTTGGCTAGCTTAGCACTGGCACAGAGTGAAAAGATAGGATGAGGAGGAAGGTATATTTGACAATGAAAGGAAAAACACAATGAATGATGTGTGATGGTGTGTGTGATGCTTAATTGTATGGTATATGAGTAAATTAACTGCTTGTTTAGACCATCCTCATTAGAGCAGATTATGCTTTTTCATCCTCTCCTCTCCTCTCCTCTTCTCTCTCTTTGTCTGTTTTTACCGTGCATGTCTGTCCTGTGTTGTTTGTGTTGTGAAGGGTGAATGATGTAGGGAAGGTAGAGAGCTTGAGGCCTTTTCCACTTCAAAGCACCTCAGTGTGGATTTGTGTGTGTTTGTGCATGCATGCATGCATGCGACAAGCTTGAGCAAGACAAGCAGAGCCAGTACAGTGAAAACATGCACGTATTTTTCCTGTTTAACGTTAGTGGGGAGAGAGCAAGGAGCCAGGAAAGGGAAGGAAGTCATTAGGACACAATTAGGAAGGATAAAGCTGTGAAAATCTGAAGTAAAGGTAAGAAAAGTGGATGTCAGAAACAGCATTCATGGGGACCTGTTTATATGGACATGCAGCCAAAACCACACAAAATTAATATGCACTGTAGGATTGAACGACATACAAAAAAAATATTATATAATACATATTGTGATTATTTTTGACAGATATTGTGATTGTGATATGAGTCACAACTTTGAAAAATTGTAAAAAATGATGATGATGTGATTATTGCTGGGGTCTGAACCAAAACAAGCATGCTCACCTATGTCTGGAGAATATGATGTGTAGGCCGGTGCATCTCTGTAGCACCACAGTGCTTCATTTCTAATGGTATGTTGAGGCACATTTTACCTTCAGCAAAAAAGCAATTTGGATATTGCATTTGCCATGTTGCGATTTTGATAATATTTTGATTAATTGTTCAGCCCTAATGCACAGTAGCAAATTAGGATGTTAGCCAACAGAGCTGAACACACACACGGTTGTGTATATTTGTGCACATGAGGGGAAAAGTCTGTTATAACTGTGAGGGAGAGAGAGTAACAGAGGTGGAAAGAGATGGAAAGATAAATTGAAAAGTTGCTATTTTTAGCGTACACTCAGGAGGCCATTAGACCTATTGTTGAATTTTAGGTTTTCTGTGGTTTTCGGAAAAGTGGGTGGCTGGTTGCATGTGCAGTGAAGTGCACATCCAGTTATTTGATGTTTTGTAGTGCTGACAGATTCTGGCACTACAGTCAGTGTTGTGGTGATAAGTTTGTTTGTTTGTAGAACTGTGTGTGTGTGTGTGTGTGTGTGTGTGTGTGTGTGTGTGTGTGTGTGTGTTTGTGCACGTGCATATGTGTGTGTTTTGTGTTTTAGTGCGCTTCTGTGTTTGCGTGTATCTGTTGATTCCATTAAGGAATCAGACCGCAAGCACTTTTGTTGTCTTGACTGGTCTAGAGGGCCTGGCCCCATTAATGCAATGTTCTCATTATTCAGTCTCCACAGTCTGCATTGCTAGAAGGGAACCATCCTGAACAGAAAAAAAAAGTACCTCGCTATTTGGCTTTATCTTTGTTAAGTTTCAAAAATACAGGCTCTTTTCTTATTTAGATCTTGCAGTATTTAATGTGCGTAATTCCAAATCTGAAGAGAAGGTACATACGGTCAGAAAGGGCAGCAATCAAGGACAAGAGGGAGAAACTAATTTGAGCTGAGAAAAAGCAAGAGCTGACCCTTTTCACCTTATAGAGGCCAAAGAGCAAGATAGACGGACACTCCTGACAGTTAAAGTCATGCTTTTTGAAAAACTACTAGGCTCCTGTACACATAGATATCCAAAGATCCCCATTAAGACCTGCATAATCATCTCAGGCTAGTCGAGTTGTGTGTTTTACTGTGAAAAGGTAATATGCAACCTTTCAAAGTATAAATTGAATAGTATAGATTATAGATTCAGCAACAGTTAATATGAAATGTTTGAGTCAAGTAACTGTATATGCAAGAAAAAAAAAGAAGAAAACGTGTTTCACTGTCATGAAATGCAGCTCAGTAACTCTGTCATTGCGTCTGTTTCCTCAGCGAGTGACAATACAGGAAACAAACATTACTGAATCTGCACCTCACATACATAACAAGTTCAAGGTCTAAATGTACTTCAGCTTCCTGAGGAAAAATTGAAAGCTTGTTGAATAAAAAAAAAAAAAAAAAAAACTTGTATACTGTGCTAGACTGCAATGAAGCAATGCAGGAAGATAACTAACCTATATAACCTAATTTCAACCAGCACTGAATCTTTCTAACACTTTGCAGACCTGAGGACAACACTTTAGTTTGCTCCAACATTTATACCAAAGACAATCTGAACTAGTACTGAGCAGTATAATATACTGTAGTATTGCATCTTTATAAATACGTAAACCCCTGTTTACTCACTTAGAACCTTTAACCTGCACAAATGCCCACACACACTTCCTGCCCTGCCAGTGCTGAAAAGTAGGTACTTTCACCATCACTTTTTCTGGTAGATCTGCAACTGTCACTGTATTACAGGATCCATGTTACGATTGTATCTCATACCTGATGAATTCCATTTCGATCTACCAAAGTGAAACAAGCGACAACTAAAAGCACTGTTAGGGCAAAGACTGAGTTGTGATTTGAATGATTCACACCTCTATACGCCTGGCTGATTGTTTTTAAGTGTTCACTTGTAAAAGACCTTTTCAGAAGCACATTCAGCTTTGCGGTTCTTTATTTTCTTACTGCAAAACAAGTGACAACTGCTTTATAATTGTTGTTACTATGGCCTCCCTGTGTCGTGACTGATTCACAATTCATATCTCTTCTGTTTCTACCCACAGTGGCATATACTGTAGCATAAATAATAGAAATTATTGAACCGTACACCAAAGAAAACCAAAGGTAGATGAATTCAGAGCCTCTTGGACAGTGTTCCCACTGCTGGTTCTGAATTTTACCTTTAATTTGCATTTGATACATCCTGTTGGTGGAGATTTGCACAACATCACAATGTGCAAATCTACAATACAGAGCTTTTATTGGGTGGATAAAACACTCATCTCTGTGCAGACTCACAGTGGGATTTATCCTGAGAAGACTTTTTTTCTCCCCCTACTTCCCTCCTTTTTCCTATTTGTTCTGGCATATAGAACGGAATGAGTCAACACACACACACACACACACACACACACACACACACACACACACACACACACACACAGTGCACCAGTGAATACACAAACATACACACCACAACACACACACACACAGTGAATACACACATTAAAAGACAGAGAGACAAATAAAGCTAGAGAGAGAGAAAGAGAATATCTTGTTTTCTGACTTACTATAAATGACTAGTTGCCAAAGCTATGTGTGTGCGCTTTCAAGTAGTATTTTGATAATAAAAATCTACTACTAAACCAGAAAATTGATAGTAATCAGTGAATTAGGCAAGTAGTTGTGTATTTTTAGGCAAAGTTATTGTACTGTTGACTATTTTGGTAAGGTAACTTTGTTTTGTCATTTACTTCTAAAGCCAATTATCAGACTGTGGGGACAAAAGTCAGTTGACGGAGGCGTAATGTGCTGATTTGCCTCCAGCTGGGAACTAAGAAGAAAAAAAAACATGAGACCCACAAGGTTAACCAAGATTAGGGTAAGACTTGGGGTTACAGGCAGGTTACGTGACTGCAAGTCAACGGTATACTTCTTAAGTGGCAAAAACAAGTGTGTGTGTGTGTGTGTGTGTGTGTGTGTGTGGTCATGAGTGTAAGTGAATGAAAAAAAAGATGAGATAACAGATGAGATATAACAAGATAAGGTTATCATTGTGATGGAATGAGGGAGAAGACTCTGCGGTGTCTTTCTAACCAGAGAAAGAAATGAGAGGAAAGCTGACGTGAGCTCTCTGAATTCAGACTGAGGATAAAGCCGCAGAGAAAAAGATGGGCGTGTCTCCATCTTGTCCTTCTATTATAAGATGCCAAACCACTCGGCTCTAATGTATGCATTCCTTACTTAGACTGTGAGAATACATCCATATGCAAGGGACTGAATGGCTTGACTGTGGCAAGGAAGGTTTTAAAACAGTTCACTTTTCAAACCAATGAGGGAATAAAGGAAAGAGCCGTGTTACATGGGCCACATTTCACTGCAAGTAATACACATTTTCCAGGAATATCCTGTATTAAGCCACAGTGTAGTTTTCCGATTAAATGCGTTTCTTATTTGGCTCTACAGTATATTTAAAGACATATATCAATGTTGTGATGCACTGAAGAACTTATTCTCACTCTAAAGCAACTTCTTTGAGCTTTTGATAACTCGGGTTGACAACGCTTGTCAACTGAACATGAGTTGTTTTAGTGTTAATGAGGAACAGACGCATCTTACAGTAAATTAGATTCCAAAACATCATATTTATGTTTTTCTGCTCAACTGCACAATACAGATTTTACTGGCTGATCATAATTTAAATCTTAAAAGGTTTTTGTCAGACATAAGCCTGACATTAAATCCTAGTTAACTTACACTGAAAGCTTTAAACCCTTCACTTAACTGTAAATAGCTAAAGACATTAATTTTTCTTTTTGAAAGCATGTCACAGTCAGTAATTGAAATCCACTTCAAATTGCATTTTTTGGAACCTGAACCTAAACGTGAAAAGCATTTACTAAAAATGTCAATCTGTTCAGCTGTTAAGAGAGCCTCCCTCTGTTGTATGTGCATATGCCATGTATGGTATATACACACAATTCCATTTGGTGGTATAAGGGATGAGCAGTACATGCACACGCGTACACACGCACACACGCACACACACACACACACACACACACACACACACGCACATACACGCCTTGTCACACTTTTTTCACACTTTTTTGCACACGACAGCAGAGTTGCTGTCAACACATCAGCGTTGTCTGGACTAGATATATATGCATGCACCATGTGTTTGTAATTCACAGTGTGTTGGTGTGTTTCCATCTGTTTATTTCATTATGCAAAGTTTCCACTCAAAAAGACAAACCTAATGAAAATGAATTTCTTGTTCTCTGTCTCCGTAATGCTTTCTCCTAAAGGAAGTGGAGGTTTGTATGACTGCTTAATAGTCTTGTATCTGTCATGTATTATTTACTCTAGGTGTCAGGTGAACAGTGTTTTCATGATTTCATATATTGGTTAACCCTATTGTAGGAGCCTGGAACATGGACTCCATCCAAGCCCTTCGATCAAGGTGAGTGTGACTGAGAGAGCTGGTTCTTCTGTGATTTAAAAACACACATACACACACACACACACACACACACACACACACACACACACACACACACACACACACACACAGACACACACACATGCACACTAGAAAGGACAAAGAGAAGTTATACCACTTCCAAAGCTGAACAATATCAATAGAAAATGTTTAGTTAAAATGTTTAATCTACATATGGATATGTATCTGCATCAAAATATACACAGTGATGGTGATTGGCTGGCTGTGGTCATGATATTTGGAGAATAGATCAGGGCTGGTTGAGCAAGAGCTGTACAAAGTTACACAGTGAGTCACACTTATTGCCACTGAGCTATGGCCACTTAAATGTATTATGGTGCCCAAAATGCCGCCCACAGGTGAATTACCTTCAAATTTAGCAGAATTGCTCAAAGTCAGTATGTGCATGACACTACATTTGTTTTTTATTTGTATAATGCATTTAAGAATTATGGAAATTGACTTCAAATAGGTCATGCCAGGAAAAATTTGGCAACCAGTTATAGGAACACAGTGTGACATATCAAAAAAAAAGTTTCTTCCAAATATGTTATGCATTAAATTCAGTTAAGAGTGGATGAAACAGAAGAGCAGCAGTTGAAACACAATTTACAAATTTAATGTAAGAGTCATGAGCAAAAAAGTTAAGTGCTTGACAGATGCCACATGATCATGCCATCCATCTCTAAAAATCAAATCACTTGTTTCTTGGTGCAAGGCCTAACTCACCAAATTTCATTGAAATCTGGTGAGCATTTCTTTTTACATTAGATTTACCTTCCTCAAACAATCATGTGTCTCACTTAAATGTTGTCTATTCCCTGGAATTTAGATGCTTTAAAACATGTTGCTTGAAATGTGGTGACCAATTAGCATCAAGACTTAGCGGCAGTAAGATAAGGACAGTGAGGAGTTCATGTCAAATACAGTACTTTTTTTTTGTGCAAACATTTCACATTCAGACAACTTTACAAAATGTCGTATGTTTATGAACGTCTGTTATTTTGTAGCCATCACTGATTCTTTTCACTTCACCAAGCAGTCGATCTATGTAGCGAACATCGACAAGGCGATTTTCTATTCTTCGATCCGCTTCATTTCTCGTAGTATTACAGACTGTGATAAGCTCATACACACATCCAGACACACCAGGACATGAGCACATTCACTCTCCCTTATCGCTGTATCCTCGAACACACTCGCACATGCCTTCCACACACACTCACACATGCACACACACAGACATGTCGGGGAAACAATAGCATTAGATAGTGCGTTGGAGGATGGAGGCAGGATAATCTGCCAAAGCTGCTCAGGGATTACAGTAAGGTTCTTTAGAGCAGAGGTCATACACAAACTGTTCTGAGATCAGCTGAGGTTCTTAGATCGTGCTCATAGGTGCCGATCTGGATACTGACGAGTGGTCAGTAACAGCTAGCTTGTCTTTGACAACAAAGATCACACCCTCTGCCTCAGATTCAGATCTAAAATCCGCTCTTACCTTGAAAGCCCAATGTGGCTCTCAGCTGTGGGATCTGATACCAGATCAGTTTGAGGATCTCAGGACAAGAGCACACAGGGGGACTGGCACTTAGCGCAGGCTGATGTAAGGTCAGAAGACACCTCTATAACCAGTTCCATCTGTTTTTAGCTGTGAGGATACTTAACGGTATTATGGCTTTGAGTACAGCGTGAGAGAGACATTGGCAGTATAGTGTAAGAGATTGTGGCTAGACCTAACACACACACACACACACACACACACACAGATCTCTAACACATGTCCACATCACTTGGATCTGTTGAAATGAAAGGAAATACATGCTTTAACTAGGAATCATCTATCTAGAATTTCAAAGAACAAAAGCAAAATATAACCTGGGGACATTTCCTCTCTGTCTGTGTTCATGGGCTCAGTCTTTCTAGGAAGCTCTTCAAATAGGGAGGCTACACCTTGGTCACGCACACATGAGCAGTACACATATATACACTTAAAAGAGTTCTCATACAATATGGATGTTTGGTGTTTTTAGGCCTTGATCCAGCCAAGGACCCGTGTCTGAAGATCAAATGCAGCCGCCACAAGGTGTGCGTTGCTGAGGATTATAAGACTGCCAATTGTGTCAGCCAGAGGAGAGTTAGGTAAGAACACAATCACTCACAATCACTTTCCACTTCTTTTCTCCTCCCTCGTTTTTCTCCCTTGTTTTTTTTTTTTTTTTTTTTTTTGCTCACTTCTCCAGGCAGCATGATAAGCAACAATACCAGAGAGATGGCTGTTTGTCTGTTTTTCCAGCTGGACTACTGGTTGCCCAGCTCTCTTGTGACTGTTGTGTGACATTACTGTTTAGTCCAATTACCCCAGCATTGGCACTGCCTTACAACGGACACAAAGTCCTGCCAAGTGATATGAATGGGCTTTGTATGCGTGTGTGTGTCTGTCTGGGACACTGCAGACTGGACAGAGGACAGTAACGCCATACTGACCTCATTTCCCATTCTTAGCAACAACACAATTATGGCTACACATTGCAAGCAAATCGGAAAATAATCACATATAAATCCTAAATCCTTGTCTCATTTCAGAAATTGATGTAAGAACAAGACAATAAATCACAGCTACAAAATGCTAGCAAAACATTGGCTTTGAATGAAGCACAGAAGAATAAAGAGTGCATGTCGACGAAGGACACAGCTTCATTTGTAATTGTTTCATATGCATACAGTGAGATGTTTAGTGCTTGTGTGTGTGTGTGTGTTTTTGAATCTCCTCTCTAGTTTTAAAGATGCCAATTTGTACCAGAGTCCAGGGTCAAAGTGCAAACCCTGCCCCGTGGTTCACCCCTCTCCCGTTTGTGGAACCGACGGCCACACCTACTCCACCAAGGTACACATGCTCGCACTATCACATCATCTCTCGCTCATAATAGAAACATCTGAGCCCACGAGTCCGATTTTTTTTTTATTTCTTGATGAGACACACATCCTGATTTTACTCTCACTTCTGCTTCATGCCTTCTGTCTCTGTCTCTGTCGCTCTTGCTCAGTGTAAGTTAGACTACCAGGCGTGCATCACAGGAAAGAAGATCGCTGTGAAGTGTTCTGGCATGTGTCCGTGCCCCTCTCAGCCTGAGCAGAGTTCCGCAGAAAAGAAAGGTACAAATCTCGGCACGCGTGACTGAACACTGCAAGCAAGGGTACTTTGCAAAATAAACAGCAAATTCTTCTTAATTAAAAAGTCTTCAGTGACAAATTCCAGGGCAGCCATGCTGCGCTGTAGCTGACTCTGACTTCTCATCTACATAAGGGAGTAGAGGGACAATAAAGCATCACTTTATCATCATTAATCATTACTGTTATTATTCCTCAGTGTGCAGTGAGTCGGACCTGAAGGAAGTGGTGAGTCGTCTGAGAGACTGGTTCAGAGTGCTGCATGAGAATGGCAACCACAAGAGAGTCAAGATCCAGAAGCCAGAGAAGAACAGTGAGTCACATGACATTAGCATAAGTCAAGAAAAAAACAAGAAAATAGACGCATTTCCTCATGCATCAACACACTCACACTTACTCTTCAGACCTTTCTACATTTACCCTGTCTTCTGTCTGCAGAGTTTGAGGTAGGGGCATCACCTATTTGTAAGGATCCTCTGGGCTGGATGTTCTCTCGCTTGGACACAAACTTCGACCTCCAGCTGGACCAATCAGAGATCAAGAGCCTTTACCTGGACAGGAACGAGCCATGCTCCGATGCGTTCTTCAAGTCCTGCGATACACATGCAGACAAAGTCATAACCAGCTCTGAGTGGTGCACATGCTTCCAGAGGTACACAGGTGCGGTATCCACATGCACTCACATGCAAATCCAAAAACACTTCAAATGCATTCACACCCGGAAATACACAATACGTGCAAACACAGCTGCTGCCCAGCTTTCTGGTTTTATTTTGACCTACTATACGTACCATAGTTGTCGTCATAGATACAGTTTTCCTGTCATTATCAACATTAAGGGTTTTGCCTACATATAAAGTGGTTTAGATCATTTGGCTTAACTGCTGGCTTGTTTACAACCTGTCTGATCTTTTTTGCCCTGTCAGACTTCACTGTTCCAATGTCACCATTTTCCCAGATTTCAGCAATTACTTTGAGCCCAGTGATGTCAATACCAATGGAAATCATGGCCAAAGTTGAAAAAAGTTGGATCAAGTTGCAATAAACCGGAACTTTTCTCTCATTTATAAACTTATAAACTTCTCCTGGCATAGAAATAATACCTATAATACCTTCCAGCCAATCAGCATGTCATATTCTCCCTTGACATGTACAGAATACATTACCCCAATCTGTAATATACAATAAAATGCAACACAATACAATAGAATGCACTGCATTGAAACACTATTGTGCGAGACCCAGGATGCGAAATTAGTTTTTTTTTTGGTCCTGAAGAAACAGCATTTACTGATGAGTCACCAGCGCTGCACTTGTAAAAGCAGAGACAGCAGGATAACAAACATCATGACAAAAGCAGAAAGTACACAAAAGAGGCAAAGTTCACACAAACAGATGCATTCGCAGAACAGCAGACTTCTGCAGTTTGTTACCAGAGTCCCTTGTCTCTTCTTTTCAGATTCCCCTTGTAAAGCAGAGCTGTCCAGTATCAACAAGAAGCAAGCAGGGAAGAAGCTCCTTGGTGAGACACACACACACACACACACGCACGCACGCACGCACGCACACACACTCACACACTCAAATGGGCGTTACCCTGACTCACTGTGTGTGTCTGTGTGCTTTGGCTTGTATGTGTAGGCCAGTATTTGCCGTCCTGTGATGAGGAGGGCTACTACAGGTCCCACCAGTGTCACAGCAGTAGTGGACAGTGCTGGTGTGTGGATCGCTATGGCAATGAGGTGGCTGGTTCACGCACCCATGGCCCCGCAGACTGTGGTAGGTAAAACACTGTGGAGAACAGAGAGTCTATGTGAGAGTTTGTGTGTTTGTGTAAAAGAATAAAGAGATGCAGCGTGATTTGCAGTTAAAGCATCAAAGCATTATTAACTCTCTTTTTTGTTTTGCATGAAATCTCTTACTTACCACAATGCATTTGGATCATAAAACTATTAAATTTAGCTGTTTCTCTGATGCGTTAAGCTAAGCTTACCAGCTGATGGCTATATTTACTGTACAGGCATGATAGTGGTATTCATGCTCTCATCCAACTCTCCGCAAGAAAGCGAGTAACTGCATTTCCCACAATGTCAAACTATTTCTTTAATCATAAGTTTTGGTTTCATTTCTGTCCCTAGGTGTGATTTTGGAGTCTTCTGGAGACCTTGGTAGCGGAGACTCGCTCTTTACCGATGATGATGAAGATTCGTTTGTCCTCAACGACCAGGCTGGGATGGACGATGAGGACGATGAAGATGAGGATGACGATGACGACAATGACGAGTACCTGTCGTAATTTTAAAAAAAAAAGAAAACGAAAAAAAAGAAAAAAGAGAAAACTGTTTTTTTTGGTCAAACTGCACGTTTCTAGGTGACTCCCCAGGCAGATACTTAATCGTACTAACAGCCTCTGGACTCCTCTCTGTGTATTGTTTGTTCATAATTTAAAAAAACAAAAAAAAAAAAAAAACAATACTCCTGGCAAATGTTTATGATTTCTCTTCCTGTCTAAGTATAAAATATGATTGGTTAATGGCACTTGTTCACTTACGTGCCAGCCAACCAGAGAATATGACAAGGACTACCTTCGACAACCACTTCGGTGCTTTGGATTTGGTCACTTGTGCAAAGACCTCTCCCTTCATTGGACAGTCCATGTCTTCTAGTGTGTCCTGTCCTTGTGCAGCACTCCGATGCCTGAGTGTGTTGATGCCTGAGGCGCAATGTTAAAGAGATTTCCTCTCCTTCACCCCCCCCCCCCCCCCCCCCCCTTATCCTCCCTATAAAATGCTCCTGTGTATAGGTGGGATGCTGATGATGTAGATAAGAGAATATTGCACTCTTTAGGTTTCTTTTGATCTTGATTTGTAACTGTGACTGTAACTGTGTGGAAAAACAAGATAAGAGTTAGACATGCTTCATTAGGAGAATTAAGGCAAAAAAAAAAGAAAAAAAAAGAGACACAGTGTGAGTTGGATAACAATCAGAACAGACATGCTAGCTGTTTTCACTGAGACACAGATCAAGTCAAATCATCTCAAAGGCACAGCAACAAGGAAAGACAAATTACTGCTTGGTCGGTTGTGTTAGGGGGAAAAAATATTATTATTATCTATTTTTCTAATCCATCGTTGGATGAATACAGAAGATGAAACAGATTTGTCGTAGCATGTCTAATACTGTGTGATGTTGTTTCAGTCTGTAGAACCAGAGGCTAAACCTTTGTGGAACTCAAAAACAGAACAGAGCTTGAGGTTGAGAAATTCCCCCAAGCGTGTACAGATGAAACTACGCTTATATAGTCATAAACTGCTTAAGCCACAAATCTGTGTGATAAAAATGTTTACTGACCTTTAATACGTCAGTGAGCTCAAAGGAGAAGTCGTGGTGTTTTTACATTTTCAGATATATAGTTAAGTCTTGGACCTGAGCGCGGTTTGAGCAAACAGTAACAGAACAAATCTCTTGCACAGTAATAAAACCACAGAGCCATGCAGACCTGTTGATTATGTCTGGCAGGGGATAAAGGGGAAGGTGTGCCTTGTACTGGTGAGGACAGATGGCAGTAGTAGTTGGAGACACATGCTTACTGGACTGACTTAAGCTTGTCATGACACTGCATAAGAGTGGCTTTACTGTCAAGCTCAGATACTTGTTGGGTTTTGGTATGGCTTGTGTTTTGGGTCTCTCTTACAATGGTGTTACATAGGCCATATTTCAGATCAACATAGGATAGCTAGAATGTAGAGAAGCACAGAGATACTTAGCAGTTAAGTAAACACTTAGATTCTGCTGGATTTGAAAATGTTTTATATATTAGTACACTGGCTAGAGGAAGCTTTGGTTTAGACAGCTTTATATGAAAAAAGATGATCATCTTACAGTGTTTTGCTTTTACTTTGTTTCAAAAGCTTGATTTGTACCTGATCTGCTCTAACTACTTATAGTGTATATCTGTCAGGGTTGAAAACTGAAACCCATCCCAGATTTGTGTATTCTTGATAAGTCCTGTGGCTGGTTATGCAGACCTGGGACCTGCTGTACTATATTAATTTTCAATTATTAATCTGCTGTCTGGCTTCATTTTGAATCAAACATCTGTTGAAATTCCATGTTAAGACCTGAAAAGTGCCATTTAACTGTCCAAAAGTCCTTTTATTATCATTATTATTATGATTATTATTTTTTTAATTTTACCCCCCCCCGCTCCCCCCCCTCATTCCTTTTAACTTGGAATTTCAATTCACTTTACGAACTGGAAAACATTTCAGTCTCAAAGTGTGCTGTTTCATGAGTGTGATGACATGCAAATCATTTTAATGACCTCAGACACTGTAGCCACTCTCAGCCAATCACACACTGTCATCACAGCTCTGATAGTGTTTAAAAGTTATGATACAGATGCATTTTTTACAGTGTATGTATGATTTGCTGAAATAAAAGCTATATTGACCAATGTCTGCTTGACTGTGTCATCATGCATGTTACTCAGAGGACAGAATACATGCAGACAGCTCTTGTTGCTGTGCGACTACACACTCCTGTTCTATATCTAATGTTTCAGTTCTCTGTAGCGTGCTTATATTTAGGGAAAGACAGAGAAGTTGCAGGGGGGTTTTCATGTGATAAAAGTTGAGGTCCATACTTGTCTCCCATTTTAAGGTGGACAGCTGTTGTTGAGGTATATAGTTAGTTGACACAACATCTGCCATAAGTGGAAGTTGAAAGTATTTATGCATGACTTCAATTCAAAAGCAGAGAAAGCTGACAGTGGTCAGGAGTGACAAACTCTGCTTGTTTGTAGGCAATGAGTTCAGTGTGCAAGAACATTACTGCATTATGTAGGAGAAGAACAGGTGAATATTTTATGAGTCACAGCCACACCCACACAATACACCATACATGCATGCATACACACAGCACATGCGAGCTCACGTAAATACGTGTAGAGCAAAAATCATACACTAAATAAATTAGTACAGGAAAAAGGTACATTCACTGACCTGGAAAAAAGTTTGTTGCCCTTTATTCGAGGTGAGAACTACAGTTTCTTTTTCTTAAATCCACTCCAGTGTAAGCAGGCTGCAGGAACTCACACAATGCGTAAATGTGTGTGTGTGTGTGTGTGTGTGTATGTTGGCAAAAGAACCTGTCAGCAGCTCCAGATAGGGAAGTCCCTGGGTAAATATCAAATCCTCCGCCTGTATGTGCTGACCATGAAAGAAATGTGGAGAGATACCATCTCACTGGCTAATTTCCACACACAGTGGAGCCTGTTGTTGGAGACAACCCAACAGTAAAAAGTGATCTGCCAGTGTGTGGGGAGACAGACTGACTGAGCACTGATGGGAAATGCCTCAAATTGCAGGAAGCACTTTTGATGTTCGGAAATCAGGTTTCTTGGATAAGCAATGCTCTGTGACGCAGGTTCTTTTATCACTTCCACACTCTGGTGCAGGAGGTATTGTTGCTGTGTGAGGTGTAATCACCTACTGTATGTGTGTTATTAGACATAATATATTATATGATGATAATGATTATGATCCGTGTCATTGCTCTCTAGGGATTTATAACCTCTTTACTCTTTACTGTTTGCACTGGTGGCCTGTTTTCATTGTTCACGTCTTGCTTGTGTACTAAATGTAAGCACCATTGAAAAGGTCTGAGCTGAGCCTCCAGGGCGAGCTGCTGAAGAGGCAATATGGCTCACCTTAATGGTTAAGTCACTGTTGGTCAATACACACTCTGGCACAGACACACAGTGGGCTCATGTTACTGTGCCTGAGTCAGCACTAACAATAGACATCCCTATGCCTATAGCCGTGGGACAGGAACAGGTTTAATGGTTGTAAACTATTTACCAGTTGAATTGGAGCTTTAGACCTTCTGTCATGAAGCAAGTGATTATTTCATACACTTCCTGTGCTGAGAACACTGTAGGATGATATACAGTGTGCATTTTCCAAATGAATAAATAAAATGCACATACACTTCAGAATGTGTGGTTTAAAATATCAAAAAGGGCTCTTAAAACACACATTATATTCATTTAAAATTTATTCAGAGAAGCCACAATAAATTTTAAATTTCCCTGCAGATACTTTGTGTTGTAGATTAAAAACATATGTATATATATATATATATATATATATATATAATTCTGAAAACCCCACAGAGTCCAAAATATGGTGTATTCAAAGAAATCTAATCTCTATGGTATTATTTCAAAATACATAGATGGGGGAAAAATGAAAGGAAAAGAAACCAAAGTGTGTTAGCTGATGTGATTCAGCGCTCCTTGTCATAAATTCATAAAGTGCATTGAACTCTACTGGAGGGATGAACAGTGCTCTTACAGGACATGCCCTCATTTAGTGTTTTGCTGGTGGTAGTGGGAAAGGCTGTCAAGCACATCACCACAAAATCTCTTATAGGTACCTAGAGGACCCCTAAAATCCCCTAAAGACCAGAACATCCTGAGGGCCCACTAGAAACCTTCTGAAGGACTTCCATGACCTCTTTAAAAAACACTGAAACCTCCAAGACTCCTGGAACATTCTGAAGGACTCATTGACCACTAAACCTATCAAATCTACACGTAGAACTTTCTCAATGATCATTAGAACCTCCAAAAGACCCCTAAAAACTCCTAGCGGACTTCTAGAGCATCCTCATTGACCACTACAAACTCCTAAAGGACCACTAGATCCTTTTTAACGACTAAAACCATCCATAGAGCCTCTTCAATGACCACTTAAACCTTCTAAATAACACAACCTAAAGGACCTCTAGAACCTTCCCATCGAACACTAAAACGTCTTAAACAATCCCAAGAACCTCCTCAATAACCACTAAAGCCTCATGAAGGACCCCTAGAACCTTCTTTATATTCTGTAAATAATTCACTGATGTGGTGTCTTAGTAAGCCTCAAGCCAGGTTGTTCCTTTAATTTGTCACCTGTCTGTGTGTAAAAAATGTTATAGAGGATGTGCCTTTCATAAGAAGTGAAAAGTGACTGATTTGGCTCATTAAACTCCAGCCATTAATTCGCAAATGTCTGAGTCTGGCCGCTTTGCTCACAATTTCTGAGTTTTATGGAGGCAGACAGCAGTGCGCAGAGAGAGCTTTCCCATCAATAACCTCTAACTGCTTAGTGGCTTGATTCTTTCCTGGTCAATAGTGGATTGGAAAGGAACAGGAGGGGTTGAGGCAGTAATCTGTACATTAGTAGATTGAGGAGTCACTCATGGGAAAACAGATTTATGTCAGGCCAGTCTAACTCCATGTTGATCATAAACATTTCTAATCTACAAGGTGACTTTAGTAATTTACCTGTAAATTTCATACATTCTAGATACTGTATTTACTTCAGAATGTGTTTACATAGTACTCTTCAACATCTACAAAAAAATCCCAATTGCGTATGTACATGGATTTAAAATATGTGGTGAAAAATAAATACATAGATACCTACAAAAAGATTTGGGTCAGTTGTAACAATACACATACACTTCATCTACCAGTCAAAAGTTTTAGATGTTCATTTTCCAGCTTCTATTTAAATTTACATGATTCAATGACTCAGTGTTTATCAAATTAAAGCACTGAACAAATAAAACAAGATTTTAAAAACAAGGAATAATTTAAGCTTCTTATTTAAACAAATTTTTTTATCAAATTTTTGACTTATCCAGCAGCTGAACACACTCATGGTGTTCTTTCTACAATTGAAATCAAATTCTATTATTTCACAAACCTGCTGCACTTACAGTTTGCTTTGCTTTCACCTTCTAAGTGAGTTCATCCAAAACCAGCTCCATGGGGTGAACTTAAAGGCTTCATTTTCTTCCACTCAAACTCAAACAAAAGTTAACTACCGGTGATGTCATTCAGGGTTTGTCTTTTCGAAATCAAATCAAAATCAAGTCATGAAATATGGAAAGATGTCCAAAAAGTGATGACAAATCAAAATGTCAACCCAATTTATTTATAAGTGGATTCAGAGAACCCTGACCCTATAATTCCTGGTATGAGGTTGTAATATAATTTTGTTTTCATTGTTTTTGAAGGGCATGACATCTGTAGTGCATACACAGTGGAAATGTCAGTCATTTTATGAGATTTGCTGCCCTCAGGTGGTTGAAGTAACTCCTTACAGCTGATTATTTGGAGCAAAGTTGCTCTCTTTTTGTTAATGCCAGCGCTTCATTGTGCAACAGTTTTTCTCAATGAATTCAGTCAGCACACTGTAATCTCTAATTATAATACGTTATATTTTGTGTTAGAGTTGAACTCAGCCTAGAATTAAAAAACAGTTAATTTTGCTGAACAGACTGAAATGTCTTGGGCTGCAGTTTGGGACTGTCAACTGTACTTTTTCACACAAGTTAAAAATCCTTTCCATGGAATTCTATTTCAGCATATGTTAGTCTCCTACACAAGTGATATTATACAAGTATTATACAAGTATATTATATAATTTTACATTTTATGGCAGTAAATGCTGAGATTTTGGAGCAAGGACTCCTACAAACACTCTTTTGTTGAACACGCTAAACTCAAAATATTTAATTCGGGTTCCATTTGTGTATCAATTATATGTTGCACAATATTCTCACTTACTGTGCAGCTTCTTGCAATGAAGATAATGACAAATTTAACATTGTGATTATTTTTAAATGAACTTGCTTCCCCCTGCTGGCTAGAAGTGGGTGATGTAATATGGAGGGATTTCATAGTCACATCAAGGTAGAGATTCAAAGATATGACCTGCAGTAGACTGTGGCTGGAGAGGAAACACTAGATCGTGTTTGATCTATTCTCTGCAGGGTTTTATCAATGTGAACAAAAGATCAAACAATAAAACGCTGTGTTCTATTTAAGTATAAAATTTAATAAGTAATAAACAACTTCAACAGCCTTAACAAAACATAGTTATCCATTTCAAAATGTACACTGAGCCATTCAAACTACAGCTAACACTGTTAAAAGAAGAAAACCAAACATGTTAAACCATGTTAAACCATTTATATTATTATTTAAAAGGGAAAACTCAATAAAAGGGAAAACTCAGGTAGGAAAAAGGTGAATCTGTTGCATCCATGTTATTAATGAAACAAAACAAAAACAAAGATAACCTATTGCTATACAACTATTAGTGTCTAATTTTAATTTGCAATCCCTTGCTCAAAAATAAACAATAAAACTTGATGCCTCTTTCATAAAAGCTATGTAACGTTTCTATATAAAAAGGTATTGTTATTTTACTGATGTCCCTGGAGTGAAATGCTGGTAAACTCTGAGTTAAGCTTTATTTTTAGTGGTTTTGGCAATCTCTCTGGCACTTGGTCAAGCTACAGTCCCCCCACGTGCCTGCAAGAGAAAAAAGAGAAGTATTTTAATCACTTTGTCGTCATCTGATTCTCATTCATTCTCATAACAGATCTGTATTTTCACTGCATTTCACAACTTTGTTCTTTATTTACAACTGAACTGACACAGCTTACATCCAGTATACTGATAACACCACAAAGATAGTCCAACTCACCATGGACTTCATTTCCCGTCCATCTCCATCATCTGGCTTGTACCAACCCATTTTCTTACTGTTCTCAACAAATTCCTGGGAGGGAAAACAGAGTTATTTCACTTTCTCTTCTTGGATATTGTTCAGAAAAAAAAAAAAAAAAAAAAAAAAAATTTGAAAGAGGCTTGAGGGAAAAATCCTCCTACAAGTTCACAAATGTCCAAGAAATGAAAATGGCCATTAGGAATTGATTTCACCCTGTCCCATTTTTTTCCTGAGTTGCCAAATTTTCATACGATTTTAATCAAAATGCCTGCCACGGTTACTGTACATGATTCACTGAGAGCCTATGACCACAACACAATGGTAAAATGCTAATGTTACGAAAACCACTGGGCCACAGTAAATAAATAAAAACATCCAATACTCCAAAGGCACATAAGAAATGCTTTAAAAAAAAACAAGCAATAACAAAAACCGCCCTATACATGCTTTCCTCTCACCATTAAGGCCTTGTCCATGTAGTACTGCCGTCCAGGGCTGCCATCATTATACTTTGTGTCCACAGCAAAGCAGAGGAAGAGGACGTCAACCACATTCTCAAACACAGAAAGGAAGCAGTGGGCCACCAGGAAGGCAAACAGACAGACGATGAGGAGAGGCAGCACCCACACGGTGTAGTCCCTCTGGTAGTTCAGAGCCAGGACGCCAGCAAAAGCGGTACAGGAGACTATAAGCACCTGAGAGCGCAGATTAAAGGCTGGTTAGAAAACACTAAGGTGTGTTTGGTTTGAGGGAGTATCTCATGTGAAAAACTCCAAAGTTGTTTCAATGTGCAGTTGCAGCAGAATAAGTGTCTGCATGGTACCTTTCCCATGAAGAGGACAAAGTCGCCCACAGTGTTTATGGCGGCCACTCGGAGGGCATTCTCCACCAGGATAAGGAAAGCGTCACGGGCTGAGGTGCAGAAGTTTGTGCTGTTGATGGCTGTCGCAGTGTAAGCATTCTGAAATGATATGATATGGCCATGTTTACAATAGATGCTTGGGATTTTATATATAGTGTATGCTGGATTTTCTTCTTCCCCAACCTGAGATTACTTACTTGATTCAAGTATGCTAGACACTTCTCCAGACACCACAAACAGCACACACAAGCTTTCAGCATGCAACGAGCACAGGCATTTTCCTATGAGAAAAGGAGAAATTTACAGGTTATGTCAACAACACATGACAAATGACAGAAATGGTCGCTTACTGGCTTGATGTGAGTGTAATGGAGTTCCCAATTAACTCATAATAATGATTTCACAGCTCACCTTTCCTTTGAGTTGGCTGTGGATGTATGTTAGGATGAGACGAGGGATCTTAACAAGTGTGATGATGAAGGAGCCTTTGGCCAGAGTACCCAGGTGGTAGCGGATGGTACGTGCCATAGAAGACAGGATGGGAGTCACTGGCATCTGGGACTTATTTCTTCAGTTAATCAGATACAGGGAGATGACATAATTGAAAAAAAACTAAAAACTGAATCATCAGATTAATATGACACTAAAACACAAATCATTTTCTGTTACTTTTTTTGCACCTTGTGAAATAGTAGGTGACCACAGCTCCAGCGATGGTCATCTGCTGGAAGGCAAGAATGAACTCACTGATCCAGATGAGACCCACAGCGTGGTACCACACCAAGTACTGAAGAGGTCCTTGCATGTGGTATTCAACCGCACCTGTAGAGTTGTTCTTTATTGGTGTCCCTGTGAGGAGAATACAAGTGTGAGTTTGAGTTTCTAAAATATGTCCCTCTGAATTTGCTTGATATTTTTAACCATTCTACCTGGAAACAAATGCAATAAATTGTACTTGACTGACTTTTACTTGTAATTCATAAATATCTGCATCAAGCATCTCAGCTCACAACTTTTTCACCACTGTTTTTCATGAATTCAAAACTCTTCTCTGTCATTTGGTAATGTTGTGACCACTGACCCTCATTTCCTGCTGTTTCTCAACTGGCAACCCAACAACTCTATTAGTAGTAGTCTTCATAGTAACATTATGCAACAACTTCTTCTTCACACTTGTGAAGGGACGGAGTTTAAGAGAAAATTTGATATAACTAATCAAACCAACAGAAATGAATTGGGAAAGTTTTATTGTATATTTATAATACAAAGCTCACTGTGAGTCTGTAATTTATAATTTCACTGCATCTGAAGTTGTAAACATTAATGTTTACCTATTCCCATACTTACTACAATATAACAGAAAGAATAGTTAACATGGAGGAAGACAGTGTGTGGTTTTGACTTCACTTGTGCTGGCCTGTTGTTTTAAATACCACTTAGACAGAAATAAAAATCAACTGTAGAAAAAAGAGAAGTGGGAGATGAAGAGAGAAGTGGTTCTTTGACTCCATCCTCCCACATCACGAGACTGGCACAAGATTCCAGATGTGGGAGTTTAGTCATGCCACAAAACCAAGACAAAATGTCACAAGTAACAAACTTAATATTCTACTTGTTTAGGAAAGGCTATCACTAACACATCTAATGCTAGAAACTAGTCTGTGTGCTGCACTGACATTAAAAATGTATTTGAAGCAAGGATGCACCAACAAAAGCATTCTGAATTGTGAATGCAGTTTTGAATCTGACAAACATCTATATAAACAAGCCTCTGTCCTAACCTGCAGTCCCGAGGAAGAGAAGCACAGCGATCCAGTAGACCCAAAAGAGCATGAGGCAGATGAAGGTCCAGAATGGCTGCAGGACCAGCAGGGGAAGATGGATGAACACTTTACCCGCCACATGGAACAGGGAGATAGTGAGGGCCACACGCTTCCTCAGGAAGAACATCACCAGCAGGAGAACTACCTAAAAGATTATAACAAGAAGTTTCTAGTAATGTATTACAATCATTCAATGGAGCTGTGGAGTAAGATGATTACATTTAAACAAGTAGATCTTTTCTGTCATATCAGGAAAGTCTTGTACAAGAAGTCCCAAATAAACACACACACACAGTACCTGTGCACTCATACATACCGTGAAAATTGTAGCACCGATCGCATACACAAGCAGGGCCTTGACATTGTCTGAGGCCACTTCTTTCCCAAATGCTGATGTGGTGTTATTTTCAAGGGCAATCCTGTGGTCAGCGTACAGCCACCAGAGGACACCTGTCCCAGCTGCAAAAGATCAGAGCAGATACTGTTGTCTTGTATCACCATGATGTAATTAAGAGTGTTTGAATAAAACCTGAACATATTCAGAAGATGTCAAAATGAATTACATGGCTACGAGTGCTAAAAACCATACAGACTTGTTGCTGTTGAAAGTTACCTATAGAGCCGATGATTACCAGAACTGTGAGAATCCACACTAGCACTTTAGAGATGTAACGAATGACAACCATCATGATCAGGGACAGAACTGCATCAGAGGAAAAAAACAAACAAAACACAGAGCATCATATGAGTTTATCAAACACTGCTAACATGGAAAAAGTTGTATCAAGCTGCATCAACATGCTGATTCAATGGTATCTGTTCATTGTAAGGTTTGATAAAACAATGCTTTATATGCAACATATAAATAAAATTTATTCAAATAGTATAAGCGGTAGTGCTTCATTTAAATAGTACACCATGAAGTTCGGAATGAAAAGAGCCCAAACATCCCATGAAGGGAAAGACTGTCCTATTATAAATCACGCAGCCTTGACAGATAACAAAGATAAAATATTTAGATCAAAGGTGTCTAAAACTGACATAAGATCACTTTTGTCTTTTTTGCTGTACCAATGGGAGGGGATAGAGCAGACCATAAATTAATGCCTGTGGTCTGAACTTCAATAATACAATGGTGTAACCACTCAGACATTTCCTGTTATTATTTTGACAAAAATAGCCTCTCTTCCGACAGTTGCCTTCCTACTGAGTCCTACTCAGCAATTACAGCAGTGCTCTGGGAGCAGCAGAAAAAATAACATAGCAGTATTTTCTCATGGGATAAAAGCAATTCATTATTCACCAAAGATATCAACATGCACATGGTAAGGCAGCTGTAACCATGAGTTGTACCTAAAGCCAGAAGACAAAGGCCCATGATGATCTCCTTGCTGGCCATCACCCCAGCAATGACCCGGCGCAGCACAGTGTTGTCACTGACGAATGTGATGAATCCCTGGGCAAATTCAGCATAGCAGCCGATATCCACAGGAATACAGCGGTGTAATAGCGGGATGGCCTTACTGCAAACATGAAAAACAGGGGTTCATTTATTTTTGCTCAACTGTTCTTGAAGCAGAGGTCTATTGACAGCGGCAAACTATCTATATACTGTATATTTTCGTTATGTATTTGGTCCTTTCTGGTCCTGGAACGTGTATAAATAATGACTGAATAAATAGACTTGTAGACTTGTAAGTAAAATGATAAAAAAAAAAAGGGAAATAAAGCAAGGCTACAAGGATAGCAGTTTCCCCTATTAACACCAGAGACACGAACATCTCTGTCAGTTGCCGCCCTGGTTCAAACATATTGTTCCCAAATCAGCTTCACTAAACCCTTGACAAGCTCTTAACGGATGTTCCCCTTTCCAGGACATAACAACGATAGCATTACAAACAGGGGAGAAAAACTGGTGAAGTAACTGTCTTGTGTATGAGCTAACATTTTATTAAAAGCTAAAGGATATTGTTGTTTACCTTTGTGAAACAGGAAGTTTGGGACATTTAGTATATCTCTCTGAATGGCTTGTGTATCTTGTAGGAGTAATATCATAGGAACAGAGATGAGAGCCTAAAAACAGGAGAACCAAAAATTAGATTACATGTTCAGTTTCATTAAAATATTTTAAAATCTATCTGCAAACAGTTATGATGGTAGTCAATGTATACCCCATTTATGTCCAACATTTATTATAAAGACACAGAAATATGAGTAAACTGAAAGTCTCAGTTAATACACTGGACCAGGTTTTCTCTAAAATATTTTTTTTCTCACCATTATTTAGAGCAAACTTCTTTAAGTCGTTGTAGGTCTGCAGTTCAGTAGCAGGGCATTTGGAGACACACAGGGCAATGGACTTGATCCTCCTGTTTATGAGGTCAAGGTTGCAAGGCTCTAGAAAAAAGACATACCTGAGAAGAAGAAAAATGTAATTTAAGGTTTATTAACTGTTCAGTATAAACGTGCTGCCACAAATGTCAGTATATCTTGTTATATTACTATGCCAGTTTGGGACTGTTCTGTCTGGCCAGAAAATGAAAGATGTTGACATTTGCTACACTGTCACACAGATGCTCCTTTGTAGCCAAAACGCCTTTTATTCAAAGCCTCCACGGGCAATCAGCCCATCAATAAAGCATGACCCATTGTTTCAGTAAAACTGGGCTTGCAGGCTGCATGCTGATGGAAATCTACTGCCCAAAAACCGGGAATACAATCAAAGACTCCTCACATAAATAATGACAAGGAGAATTTGTGACATTTCTCTCCAGATGATGAGTGTATCACATTGACCTAGAGAGAAATTATAAAGAGAGAGATATGCTCTTAAACTGTGCAACTCATTCAAATTTAGCTGCGTTGGTGATATGAATCTGCATCAACCTCCTGAGTGATAACATCTTATTGCCTTCAATTTATAAAAATTACATTGCTCGAACAGACCGAGCACCAGACTCTCCCGGATGGAGAAAACACTGAGAATTTTTCCTGACATGTTACCACACAACTTTTGTGTAAAAGTGAATTATTGCACTGCTATTTGGCACATATAAGTTTCAGGTAAATAAATGTAAATAGGTCATGGGTCGGGACAGCTCAACCTTGTCAACCATGGAAGCCAGAACAGGAGGTAAACTTAATTGTTTACAAATGCAGCAACCACTTGTTTGTGGCAAATTAGATTAGGATTACCTGATGCAATCCTTGCATGCACACAAGTAATGTTGAATGGCCTCTTCTGTGCCACTAACACTCAACTACAGGGGGCAAAAGAAGTCTCAACATATCCACTTGAATGTACAGAATCAATAACTGAATAATCTTGCACTGTTATCAATTTAAACAGGAAATCAGAGCAGATTAAAGTACCAGTATATAAGAGCCAGCAGGGATTTGATGCATTACATATTTTCTTATTCTATAATTAAGATTAATATGATGTAAATTCACCCCTATGTCACATATTAAGTAATTTGTAAATAATCTGACTAACTTGTTTTCTGTCATGTCCCGGCCACTGAGGGGTACACCTTCGATTTTGGTGTTATTGTGACCGCAGGTGTTGCCATAACTGTCATATCCTGAGATAAGTCTGGAGGCAGCTCCTGTGGCAATGGGGTAGCCACAAATACACCCCTGCAGATGACACAGATCAGAGTAGATAATGTTAACTATCTGCATGAAATATAAAGATTAACTTCATTAGTAAGCAGACAGCACCATGAACTCACCTTTCATACATTTAATAGTTTTGATGACAAAATCTAAAATCAAATCCTGTTATTGTACACCTACAGTAACTAAAACTAATACAGTCTTGTCCAACAGTCCTGCAATAAATCCTACCTTTGCGATGGTTATAATGTTCAGTTATTGTTGAAATTGAATCAGAAATATGTTTATTCAACTTTGTAATCACTCTGAAGGTTGTACCTCGCAGTGCTACTGCACTGTATTGTGTTATTCTGAGTACAACACAGTGCAGAATTCACCAATACCGCAAACTACACCCCCCAAAATGACCATGAAATTGAATCAGGTTGTCTCTGAATCACTTTCAACCAAACCTGAATTTACTGCTGGACTGTTATGCAAAGGTTACCTATTTGCATTAAAGGGCCAATTCACTGATCTCTAACTTTATTGGTAAGCATTCATGGATTCATCAGTATCTACTATAAGCATGTAAGAGACAGACATGCATAAATACACACACTGCCCTTCAATCGAGAAACAGTCCTGCAATAAATCCTTGAAGTGTTGATTCTACTTTATGTTCATTTTGAAGACTGCAGTTTGTGGTGCTATTGAATTGTATTGGGTTATACTGAGTGTAATGTATTACAATTCAAGCCTCATTGATATAAATGGGGTGGGCTAAAAGTTAGAAACACCTCAGTGAAAGGCAATACAATTCCACAACTACACAGCATGCTCTAAAAATGACCATGAAGTTGAATCAACACCTCTCTAAAACAGTTTTAACATTAAACGATCATTACAACTTTCATGAAGGTACTATTTAATGCAGGGCTGATATATTAGATTGCGTCCAATATAAATACTCTTATTCAACTGAAGACTTACCATTCCTATACAAAACAGTATGAATATGATGAGCCATGGGATGTCCGTGCAGCTGCGATCCTCCAGCGGTTTCCAGTCACGTTTACTCTGCCAAGGCATAAATAACAGACAGGAGCGGTTACCCTTGATTCTGTTTATGTTGGGACTGCGCTGCAGTAGCGACCCTGCTGCTCCAACATCAGCTGACAAAAAACAAGCTATTGCGTTGTTGCTGTAAAACAGGCGGCTGCTCTTGCTGAAGAAGAAGTGACGTTAACGTTGCACACGATGAGTAAAGCCTTGTTTTGAAGTTTTAAAGTAGCCATAACTTCAATCGTGTTTCTTTTCTAACTTACCTCTCTGCTGCCACAACATCCCATTGTGAACTACGAGAACACTACAACTTCAGCTAACCCGAAACAAAACTTTAAATGGCTTTTCTTCGGTCAAACTTTTTCAGCTCATGTCCTTTTTCTTTTCTCTTTCCCTTTATCTTCTTTGTTTTTCCCTATGACCGGTGCCAGAACACAAATATACACTTTTATTTGTGCTTCGTTCATTCCATCGAAAAACGCCCATTTGTGAATGTCCCTGGTTAAGAGCTACAGGTAAACACGGAAGGAGTCAAATTTCCCATGCTGCCTTCATAGGTACTCAGAAAAATCCGTCTTAAGCGAAAAATCTTACTTGGGTGAAGAAACAGCATGACCCGAGCTGCAACTTTAGCAGATGTTGAATCATAATGCGGGAAAAAAATTATCATCGAAGTCTCTCTTCTTCATGATGCTTGGAACAACCTACCTATCAGGTACACTGAAACACGGTACGCAAGTGTACCTGGGAGAATTGGTGCTATTTTAAAAGCAAAAGGTGGTCAGGTGGTGTCTTTGTTTGATTCAGAAAAAATGTTACATATAGTGAACATATAGGATTTAGAAAGTTACAATGTTTAGTGAAAGCAGCACAGCGCTGGGTTCACAGTTGGGACACACGTGAAGAATTTGGCGCCGTTTGCTGGAGTAAAGCAGTAACTGTACACTGTGTTGGATGAATACAATTAATAGTTGTTGGCAGGCTTGTCTCTTAATGGCATAAAATCAAACTAAAAAGACTGTGAAAGCTTAATTGACTAAAATTAGCCGTTCAGGAGGAATTGACGGTTTGCTAACTGTGCCACCTTGCGGCTGCCATATTTAACCCACAAAGGTGAGTAATGAGAACTTTCAGACTCATACTCTGGTTAGTCCAGAAACAGTTTGTTAACTGTTAACTATTCCCATTTCTTCATGTACAGTTTGGCTGTTCTCATTGGGAAGTCTAAAATTTGAGACTGCTTCTCCTGGTCCATGCTGTGTTAGCAGTTAAATAAGTTTCACATTGAGGTGGCTGCATATCTTCTTAGTTTTCAACGTGTTAAAATGGCTGACAATATTCTCTATCTTTATATACAGTAACTCCCTACATTGATAAATATGAGATTTTGTCGCCCCTGTCAGTCTGTTTCAGGTTATTACAACTCGTTTCTTCCATCTAATGCTAACTTGTTTATACTGTATATTACAGGCAGTCCCATGTGGCCCTGCTGCCAGGGGACTACAGGACTTCAACTTGCCCAGACACACTTGAGTGGGGATGTATGCTGAAGGACCATCTCCTCAGTCATCCTGCAACTTAACTACATGTGGTAGGAGCATCTCAGATTTAAAAGTCCAAGCAAAAGCAAAGACTAGTTATTTAAATTTGCCCTGTTTCTATAGTGCAATTTTGTATCTCTGTAAAACTGGCCCCTTGTGCATTATTTGTATTTTAGGAATAGAGGTTTTTGCACTGATAGCCTCGACTTGAGTGTTTTCTTTTCAATTTGCAATTCATGGCTCATAACTTGACTCAAATGTTTGAGGTAGCATCTTTTCAAGGAGATATCACCCCTGCCTGTAGTTTTTCAAGAGGTTTCTGCTCCTCATAGCGAAGGTTTCCTGACCTGTAGACTTCCTGAGTGGGCTGGAATGCCTAACAGTTTCCTGCAGAAGAGGTGACTTGCTTTTTATTCTCCTCCAGCTCTTATTGCACTATAAATGTTTCTTCTGCATTGCATAGAAGACTGTGAGGGAAGGTAAATATTTAACTGTGGCAAAGTCATCCACTTTTTACTCTATGAAGGCACACTTATATAGTTGTGCTTTTGAAGGTGCGGCCCGGACTGATGCATAATTTCTGCAGCTTTCAACCTTATACATAATATTTTTTTTAAACATTGTATTCCAGACAGACACACATGCACCTGATTAAAGCTATTATTGTGTCAGTATAGGTTAAAAGCAAAATTTAGAGGAAGGAAATACAGATCTTGCAGGACCAGAGCATATGATGAGCAGCTGATTGTGTCCGTATGTGAGAGAACAAGCACAGATGTTGGGAGGTTACATTTGGAACCAAAATGCAAACCAACATGGAGTGGAAACATAACTTGTTGAGAGGTCCCTCTCATCAAATGATGAAACAGCTCCTGGCCCTGCATCTCCTGACTCTTGGTCTCAAGTATGTCCTGCTGATGCTGCTGTGGCAACGGTGTCCAAGGACAACACATTTTCCTGGATCTCCACTGGAAGAGTCAATGCCAGCACAGCATATGTTCAGCAGAATCCTGGGTGGGGGGGTTATGTAGTACGTCACTATCTTGGCACTCACAGCGTCTGGTCCAAGCTCAAGAATCATTCCTCATAAACAAGACAAGAGGATAAATATTATGTGCCTATGTCCTCAGATACTTTCAAAGTTCAAGCCGTTAGAAAATGTCAAGCATTGGAGGATGTGATGAATTCCAAAAAGCACATATTTTGAAGTCACTAGTTTTTTGTTTTTTGGGGGTTTTTTTTGGAAAAAATGGCTGGAAGGGATTGTGATAAATTACTCACTTTTCAGTTTAACAGTAGGTTCTTTATGAATCACTCAACCTTTGTTGAAACAAACAAATCTTCCAAGACGAGCCATTGAAATCAAATACTGACATTTGTTCTCTCATTCATGTGCTTATATGCTCAAGAAAAGTTGTGTAGATTTGTGTTGGTTAAATAACACAACACAAATCTGAGTTTGAATTTTGTTATAAAAAAAAAAAAGGGTTCAATGTAAATACGTGTACATTCCTGTACACGTTTTAAGGTTACAGAAGTGTGAGAATCTGCTCAGGTGCGGTTGGTTATAGGGTTATGGGCCATGTGTTTAAGCCAGAGTACACAAATGGATTCCAGCTGTTGTTGCCATCTATCCGTGCCATGATCCATATGGAACTGTCTGTTTGAGATGCAGGTAGATTGTGTGAGCAGAACATAGACTGCATTTACTTTTCACAGTGTATCCCTGACTCTAACACTTAAACTCTTTTAAGAAACAGATCCTTTTTGTCCTTAATGAGGTGTATTTCCTGCTGAAACAGGATGTTTAAACTGCAAGCCAATTGGATGTCTTTTAAGGAATGATTGGCTGTTTGATTTGGAAGGAGAGTCAAGTCAAATCAAATTATTTATAAAGCCCAAAATTACAATCACAACACCCTCAATTCTTGAATCCTCGAATTGGATAAAGAATAACTTCCCTTAAAAAACCTTTTTAATGGGGGAAAAATGAAAGCCAGACAGAGGAGAGGGGTTCATTATCCAGGATGCGTGTACAGAGGGGACATTAGACAATAGTAAAAATGACGGTTGAGAAATTACAATGTTAAGCAGAATGGCTGTATTAGTTGGATAGATTCTAAATATATATGATGAATATGGATCTAGGAAGACAAAGTCAAACAACTTTGAGCTGCCACCAAAAATTTCAGGACCTGGATCACACCACTTTCTCTGGACTACAAAGACCTGATAGGAGAACACAGTACACATCACATACCATTCCCAGATGCCATTCATATAGAGGGAGAAACACAAGAGGTGAGGTTGAGTCTCCTGTGGGACAAAGACCCAGATCCAAGACATCTGGAATAAGACCAAAGGGAGGAAGGAGGGAGGTGGAGAAAGAGGCGAGAGTTCTTTAAAAGTTGTGATGGCTTTCTTAGTTGGAGGTTTTTGTTTATTCCTGCTTGTCCAGGGTGACTTCACCATAATAGATTCACTGTTCTTCAGGAGGGGAATTTTCTGGGAAATTGAAGTCTCCATTTCATCAAGGTCTTGTTTGGAATAGGCTGTTTACATGTACATAAGTATCATATTTTCTAAAAGCCTGTATATAATAGGTGCACTGATTCAAGTTTCTCAAAAGCAGGATAAGGGCTTCTCCAAATATTATTACTTTCCAAATGGCATATCGTGTTTACAAAAATTGGCTTATTAGTAACCTGAATATTAATAGGATATTATTGCCTATGATATTGCTTTGAATATAATGAGAAGGGTAAAATAATTGGAGCCGAAACAGATAATGAAGGTCTTCCCCAGGGAATGGTTCTGGTGGTTTTGAATTAACATTATTATATTTGCTGATGTGAAGTATCATCCCTGATAGGCTTGACTAAATACTATCCAACACAAATGCAGGGACTGTGAATGATGTTTATCTCAGGATGTTTGTTTTCTAGTAAGAGCAATGACTTCTAAAGTGGCTATGTGATGCTGCTGGTCATTCAGACCAATTAACCAGGACTTAAGACTTCTAAAAAACAGAAAACAGATGGTACACAGTGAACACTGATGGGATTTTCTCAGTGTGTGAGACAGTATTTTCCACTGTCGTCATAAAGATATAAGGTCCAGATGACACAAGTCTCTATCTTCTGATTTGAAAAACCAAACAGTTTGCTACAGTATTCCACAATAAACACACACACACACACACACACACACACACACACACACACACACACACACACACACAAATATAATGTCCTCCCTTGTATCATGCACACACATACACATATACACACAGGGACCCTCTCACAAGAAGATTATTTTAGCCTGTTATGGTCTGTATCCTCAATAACTTGTACTTCCTGTTCCCACGGTAACAGTCACACTATAACCTATGATAAGTCGCCAAGGACCCCCTCAGTTTCTCCCACGACGACTTCTTGCGTTGAGACTCACACAAGCAAAGCGAGTTAAATCAACAGATGATTAATTTACTTACTTAATTTACTTTTTAATTAAGAGAGCAATGTAACCCTCAACTGGCTTTTTACATGCATTTAAGCTGCATCATCTACCCTGGGATGTTTCATTCAAGAATATTGTGATTGCTCAAGTTCCCACCCAGGCCTCAAACACTGTTATTTAAACCGGCATGACTCTGGCCTTTTGAAAAGGGAGTTAACCACAGGGCATAGCGAGTGACAGGAAAGGATTGCTAGGATCTTGGTGTGGTTTGTTGACGTTATTTTTAGAATGTCAGATGAGATTCTGGCATTTTGTTTAGTTTTCTTTTTAGTGTAAATGAACCCAAGATTCGTTTTTGTAAGTTCACATAACTACTAGGCAAGTACAGTAGAAAATAGTTATTTAAAGAAGCCTTAAAAAGGTTGCAACAAAATCTTCTCAAAGCAGTCTTTGTATATGCAAGGACTCAAAATGATTCAGTTATGGGAGGGGCTGTTTTTTTTTTTGTTTTTTTTTTTTTCTCCAAGCGTCACC